TTCTCCAGCTCCTCCATGATCCACTCTTCTCTCTCTTTCCATCCCTGTTGCTGAAATCCTCACCCAAACCTTAGTTATCTCTCGCCTTAACTTTTGTATTGTCCTCCTCTCTGACCTGCCTCCCCTCACCTGCCCCACTCTTCCCCACCTGCCCAAAATACACCTGCCACAATAATTTTCCTTTTCCACTACTTGTACCAGGTGACTTCTCTTCTCAGATCACTTTGCTGGTTACCTAGCATCATGTTCTGATCCAGAGTCAAATTTTTTCCCGGCAAAGCCCAGCAATCTTCTTGTTGCCCATGTCTCTGCTTTCATATTTTCCTATTTCCTATTTTAATGCTTTTTTCCACCATTCCCTGTCTCCTAACCTCTTTTTTCACTACCTTCTCCAAAATATTTACAGATTTACCCTATTGTAAACCCATGTATTCTCTAAATGTAAGAATTTGCAGTATAAAATAAGCCCAGCTACGTTATGTGGCAAGTTGTTATGTCATTCTTACGGCTTACTTTTTCTGATAAAACACACCTTTCTGTCCCTTTGGTGTACAAATTCACCAGTTTACTGGCATATAACTTCCTCACCATTTACATCCTCTCAGAATTTGGCCCTAATATATGGTGATGTACGTTATGCAAACAAGATATGTACAGTTAGGGCCAAATTCTTTCCTGGGTTATAACCCCACTGATGTGACAGGTATAACAAGGGATGATTCTAGCCTACAGGAATCACATATACTTTTTGGTAACAACTAGTCAGACCACACAGCCAAGGCTTGCTATTCACTTGGAAGATTAAACTGATAGTTATTGCAAATGGACTGGAATCATTGTTAGTGGCTTTGGAGAGTCTCTCATTTGGTTCACTGACTAAACCCTGACTGATAACTGGATTACCCAAGGGTATTTCACCTCTTCTCTAATCTTCAGCATGTTTTGGTGAATTTTACTTGTCTTCTCTATCAATGCGTTTCAAGGAAGCTACAGCTGAGCCACTCTCAGCCCACTGTGTGTCTGATCAGTTTTTTGAAAAAAGATAAAAAGCTGTAACAGGCTAGATCTCCCCAGGAGATGATACTACACTGAAATCAACACAACAGATTATATTTGCCTCCTGTTTTCACTAATCCGATTTAAAATGGAATGAGTAGCTTAATCACCTGGGTCACAGCCTTTACTCAGCCACTGAGGGTACAACATCCTCCCTCATTCACCCTTGCTCAGATTGTGACTGGCTGCAGCGGAAAAAGCAGGGGTTATTTTGTTCTGGTTCTCTGATCTGCTCGTAGGGCAGTACAGCCAGAGCCATCCCTTGGGTATGGCAAATCAAGGCGACTGCCCTGGGCCCCAGGGTTTGGGGCCCCCCCGCGCTAATCATGAGGAGGCGGTCAGGGAGGTGAGGCGGGTGGGCAAGCGGGATGAGGAGGTGAATGGCAGGCGGGCAGGTGGGCGGGGGGGGGCAAGGAGGAGCCCCCCCCACCAGAACCTTCCCCTCCCCCACAGCACCTCCTACCCACTGACGCGCCCTGCCGATCAGCACCTCCCCTCTCTCCCAGCACCTACTGCCTGCTGCAGATCAGATGTTTTGTGGCCTCAGGAGGTGCTGGGGGGAAGGGGAGAGGAGCAAGGGTGCAGCAAGTTTGGGGGAGGGGCGGAACTGGGTAGGGAAGAGGCGGAGGTGGAGCAGGTGTGGGAAGAAGCAGGTTGGAGGCCTTGTGGGAAGGGGTGGAGTGGGGGAAGCCTGGGCAGAGCCGGGGGGAGCACCTCCCTGCAGATTAAAACGTGGTGCCTATGTCATGGGCCCACTGCGGATGGTCCTGAGTACAGCTGTGCACTGCCCTTTTCTCAAGGCATATTATACAGTTGCAATTGAGACCATGATTCTTGCCTTTTAATATGGTCAGAAAAAGTGCCACAAAACCAGACAGAACTTTGAGAGTAAGGAAGAGGGGAAACAGCAAGAAATTAACATGTTGCAAATATTTGTTCTATACATCTTGCAAACTAGCTCTCACACAGCCTTGTATCTCCCGCCATTCCTTCAGCGTTCAATAGATTTAACTTTAAAGGCACTCTAGATGCTGAAGGAATTAATGGATCTGATACTTTGTAGAAGACAGAGCCAGTTAGTTTACCAAGATCAAGTCTGTGTTTGTTAACAAGAATGAATAGGGTCTACTGGATTTACTCTTGATATAGCTAAAATAATGCTTTCAAAAAGCCAGAAAAGTGCAAAATATAAAGGCCAGGGGTACACACGTGCTTTCATTTCAAGTTGAAAACTCATGAGTGAATTTTTTTAAGAATAATTGTTGTTTCAGTTTGTTGGCATGCTTCATCGTGAAAAATTAACATGCCAAAAGGCCTTCAGTGGCTCTACAATGAGGATTCTGACATTCATCTATCTCAAAGGACTGCTGTAAGGCATAATGAAAAATGTTTGTTAAAGTGCTATGTAAGTACAAAGTAGTTATTATTGTAACAGAGAATTTAATGGAACTCAATTATTCCCAGCTACCAGTGCTGTACTGTGGAAGTTTCACACACTGAAAAATAGGTGAAAGAGATTGGACGTTCGTACAGATAAGAACATCCAGAATTATAATAGTTGATGTTAATGAAAAGGTTTTGGAAGAACTACAAAATTTCATGGTTCTGGGTTAAGTTAGGATGAGACTTTCATGGGGGCAAACTATACCACATTTGCTTACTGGGGGGTTTCTTGCACATCCTGTGAAGCATCTGATGCTGACTACTGTCAGAAATTGTTCCTATGGTCCCATGTTTCAGATGAATATTTTATCCTGTTTTCCTGGGCAGGTGTATGGAACAGGGAGATGGGTGAGTAGTTGATTGGAAACTCAAGGAAATGGGGGAGTTCTAACTTTAAGGATCTGGTAGATTTGGGAGAATTTCAGTATTTGGATTCTAATTGTTGTCCATAGTTTATACTTGATTGTATATATCCAAGAATGAATGGATAAGTCTAAAACCAAGCACATTTGCATGTTTGAGCAAAAAATGACATAATCTTTGAAATCCTAAATTACTTTCAGGTGAAAATTAGTTCTAATTTCACATATTTCTCTGGTGAAACATTGCTGCTTCATAGGGATTTCACAAGAAAACAATTTCTGGGTAAGGAAACAGCCCAAGAATGTAATTTTGCATACAAGTTCCATTCACATACAGTCTATTACTCATCATATACCAGATTTTTTCTGACCTTGTTCAGTCCATATCAAATCTCCACAGTGGTCAGAACAAATGTATATGCACAGATAACAAACATAGTCCTTTAAATCATGCTAGCAATCAGAGTTTATTTTTAGTCTTGCAAAATAATGGCATACCTATTAATTAGCTTAAAACCTTTTGCCATGTAAGTGCTAACACACAGTGTTCTCTGATGTAAAGACTGTGGTCTATCACCTCTGCTAACAGATTGTCTTGGGTTATAGAAATGATCACGACACAAACTATAATATTTTACAATAATTTAAAGCTATTTTTCAAGTCCTCGCTACATGTGCCATAGCTCATTTGCAACCCAGTGTGTGGGAGCCACAGGCCCACCCCCAAAATCTATGATTGGCTAGCATCAGAGAGCACCACCAACACTGTGTCTACCAGGACAGTCCTCTCTATTTCGGGAACAGAATGGCGAAGGAGATTGGCTGACAGACCAACAGACTTTCCTCGGGGGAGCAGGGTCACTCCCAAACAAAGACAAATACTTGCTTGCAATGGAATTGAGTTTCACTGGAGGTGGCGGGGGTGGAGTGCTGTTATTCCAGAACCAAGTGTGGAGATTGGCTGGGGGTCTGGATGATGCTAAGCCAGCCAGCTGCACTGTGGGCAGAGGCTAGAAAAGACACTGCGGTTATGCAGAGTTTAGGTACTGAGAGGGAGAGCAGTTAGACTCATCTGGAAGCTGCAGCAAAGGGTTTGATCCAAAGAACAGCTGGATTTAGCTGGGAGGTCCAGACCACCTGACAGCAACAGACTTGGATTGTCCAGGCAACAGGAATTATAATCCAGCCCTCAACAAGTTTGCAGCGCACACTAGCATCAAGAAAAGGAGTACTTGTGGCACCTTAGAGACTAACAAATTTATTTGAGCATAAGCTTTCGAGCTGTATCTCATGAAAGCTTAAGCTCAAATAAATTTGTTAGTCTCTAAGGTGCCACAAGTACTCCTTTTCTTTTTGCGAATACAGACTAACACGGCTGCTACTCTGAAACACTAGCATCAGTGACTGCAACAAAGGGTACAAAGATTGGGCAGGGGCTATTGGAACTATTAATTGAGTCAGAGAGCATTAATCTCTATATTTAGGTGTTGGGGAACTGGGTCCATTGTATTATTGCTGGGGAATGTATATATGTGATTTCCCACAGGGGTTTCCTCCTGGTATTATCCCTGAGGGCTTGCCTGGCTTAGCTAAGAGTATTGCATTCTTGCTGAGAGCAGTGTTTATTCCTGGGGTTAACTCATGCCTCCCACTGGGGACTGAATCCGGGTGGGGTAAGAGGGTGTAGGAGTTAGGAACTGGGAACCAATCCCAGGGTTTCTCCCACCTGACAAATAAATAATAGTGACGAACAAACCTTGCAAAGAACACACTTGGAATGCAAAGATGCATAAAAGTGACAAGCAAAGAAAGAATACAGGAAAACTAGCTTTTTCTCAAATAAAAATGCTTGCTTCAGATTTATCTGAGTTTTGGATGAAAGTCCAAGTAAAATTTATGTTATCCAAAAGTTTGCTTATTTCTAATAATGTAAATTACTTATTCCTCGGATAACTGTGATCAGTATTATTCTGTAAGCAGGGCTTACAGGGACAGACTACCAAAACCTTGAGAAGTGGCAAAACAAAGAGGTTTTTTTTGGCCATCACTCCATTCAGGCAGGGCTCCAATTTCCACACTGTTATGCCACAGCAGCAAGCAATGCACTTGTATCAAACTTTAGGCTCGCACCAGGCCTACCTTCCTTCAGAGAGGCTGTATCAGGAAGCAGGCTTTCATAGCAAGACCCAACAACAATCCCACATCAGGCCTCTTTCGTCTCAGGGAGGGTCCAGCAAGAAGTGTCTCTCAAGCAGTTCCTAGCCCCAGGCGAGCCTCTTCCACAGAGTGAGAGCTGGAGATCTGCTCTCCTTCCTAGGCAGCTCCCTACTGAGCTGGTTTTTCCCCTTTCAGCTGCTCCCGCCAAACCAGACACTACTGTATGTGTAGTGGGGTGGAGCTGATTGAGCCCACAGCAGCAGGTTAACACTTTCCTAGCTAGTCTGGGGTTAGTGTAGCACATTAGATATTCCTATTTAGCTGTCTCACATGGATACGTCTCTATATTGCCTTTTAGGTTGCATGTCTAATTTCGTTTTTCAGTCCCTTCTGAAATAAAAAAGACTCATTCAATTTTAGCTGATCACATCCCATCTTCCAAAGAAGACAAATCAATGTAATTGAAAAACAGTGGTCCAGATTCTAAGGTTTGGTTGAGTTGCATTTGGCACAGGACCAAGGGAGGGGAACAATGAAATTATGCCTCTCTTCTGCTCCCTTTGCCTGGGGACGGGAGGGGAGGGGGGGAAGGAGGCAGAGTGCCCCCACTGCCCAGCATAAGTTAGAGCAGTCTTAGAATCATAGAATATCAGGGCTGGAAGGGACCTCAGGAGGTCATCTAGTCCAACCCCCTGCTCAAAGCAGGACCAATCCCCAATTTTTGACCCAAATGGCCCCCTCAAGGATTGAACCCACAACCCTGGGTTTAGCAGGCCAATGCTCAAACCACTGAGCTATCCCTCCCCCCAAGGGTCTTGATGCTGCTATAACCAATGCCAAAAGCAATAGCCCCCTAGGGACTGTTCCATTGGCCCAACATCTTTGGCACACAAGATGTCCTGACCACTCCACTTTCCTCCACCAGTGTCTCCAGAATGTCCACTGTGCCAGGGGAAGGAGTTAGTAGTATAATAGAGCTTTCTGCTCACTCTGTACCATACAGCAGTACAGAGGGGACAAAGTGGTCCCAAAGATCTAAGCTAATGTATTATTTTTGCTCATTTATCAGGAACATCCAGCCATGCACAGCTGATGTCATTGCATCCATTATCGCTGTGCTACAATAGAAACAATAGTGTGTGTCAGTAAAATTGCTTATGCATGGGTCTCTTGTGGTGTGTTTAAGAGGATCAGTTACTTTTAACTGAGCCAATCTATTTCAGTAAAAGACCAAGAGCTAAATCATCATTGGTGTAAATCAGCATAGCTCCATTGATTGCAATAGTGTGGCTACTATTTGCACCAGCTGATGATCTGGCCCCACAGAGAATTGGAGCGGGGCTCATGACTCTCCCAAACTTCCAGAACAGCGGCCATGCAACTCCACCCCATCTCAGGATGGGTGGATGACACACAGGTTGAGAACTGTTGTTTCAGGCACTCTTTTTTTTCTCATGCCTTTTCACTGGATTCTTTGGAAGACATTTATCCAGCAATAGATAAAACACGTGGCTGTCAATTAATCAGTTTGCAACACCAAATGAAACACTTTCTTCCAAACTATTAGATTAGCATTTTGAACTGAAAACTCTGCTGAACATTCAATTACAGATGTGTCTGTTGCCGGCTGAATGACAGATAAATTCATAGCAACTGGGGTTTGCATAAAAATATTAACAAGATTGCAGTATTTTAAGCAGTGATTAACGGCTTGTCTACATGGTATGTTAGTCTGCACCAGAGGGGTGTAAATTCTAATGGGCAGAAGCGTGTTGCACACTAATTGGACTATTCTCTAGTGAGCATTAATGTAGTAACATTTGAAATTAAGACTGCATGAAAGTGCACAAGGGAACTTTTAGTGTGCACCAACAGGGTTCACATGTGCCAGACAATGCACACAGTAGTGTGCCCTACAGCTTACACCGCTATAATGCGGAATAACATGCCATGTAGACAAGCCCATAGTCTCCCTGTACTTCATTTCATCTTAGTATGAGAGCTAGTAGCAAACTGAATCACAAGATTCATAGCTTGCTACTATGAACATAATCAAATGAATATCACTAAATACTGTCTGATCATCAGCCGTTTTATCTTCAAGACTAAATACCAAGTAGTAATAATTCCCTTGTGACAAAAATTCATTGAAACATTGCAAAGGTAGGGCCAGACACTAGACCCCTAGTTTATGTCACTCCAGAAATACAAAGTAGATGGAAAGCTGTTCTGACCCGTTCTCTGGGGACCCCCCCTGAAACAAGACCCAAAGGGATTGGTTTGGTTCAGGGATCTCAAATCCAAACCCTCCATCAGCAAAAGTTCCAGAAGTTTGGATTTGAGATACCTATTTGAGCCTACCTGGCAGCTATTAACATTCTAGTTTGAAGTGCTGCAGTCCTAGGTAGGCATTTGCTTTTACGTAATAAAGGATATGCATGTGATCGCAGAATCTAAACCCTTAACCTTAGTAGAAACAGGTTTCTTTGTAATTAAATATATAACTTGATTTAAAAAAAAATATATAAAAGCAAGTATGGCACAGTTAATTCCCAACATCTGAAATATTTTTCAATATATGGGCACTGCTATTAATCTAATTTACATAAAATAAGGTAGGCTTTGACCTATATATGTGTCTCTGCAGTTTCTACTGAATATGTTTAATCCAATATATTTAGTAGATAAAGCACAACATAAGCCAGAGAATAAGGCTATTCTTTCCATAAGGAAGTGAAAAGCCAGGACTGTATGTCATTGTAAGTAACTACAGCAGCTTTTTCCTCATAAAGGAAAAATACTTACTTTTTCTTTGATGTTCAATACATTTTTTTCATTGAAATGACTGATTATCCAGTGGCAGAAAAAAGTGCAGCTTATAAGATGATACAATAAAAATATGAAACAGAGGACTGTCAAGCTAACGTTGCATTGTTTGAGTACGAAGGCTCAAAACTAATAATAGCGGGAGCACACATTATTTTCTTCCATCTCCACTTTCCTATGGCTGCAGAGAAGATTCTGGTTCAGCATCTTTGATTCCTAAAGATCTGAATGCATTTTTCCGATACTGCTATTTCAGACATGGGCCCAAATTTTAAAAAGGCTCAAATACTTTTTGCTTTAAAAACTGGAAGTGTTCTATGTCCTGTTCAGGGAGAAATGGCTGGCAGGATATTTGTATATCTGCACTAAGGCCATTATACAATCTCAATCATATACTGCATTCTTGAAATAATAATGAAAATTCCAACAGTCAAATAAACTGAAGCTATGCAAATAAAGTTACTGACCTTCAATTTGATTTTAAACAAAAAGGTGCACTGGGAATCGTTGCTTTTCCACATTACAACTAAAGGAATCTAAGCCATGTTAATGCATAGATAATAAAGATATTTTCTTTGGATTACTAAGGGCCGCATGGGCAAATAAGCAAATCAGACTATGTAGCCACTATCCAACAAGCAATAATATTACTGTACTTGGTACTGGCATGTCAAAAAAAAAATACCTTCAAAATAAAGCTAGGGATATTTGGTATACATTGGTTTAGCTTCACTGACTTCAATGGAGTTTTACTGATTTACCCAACCAAAAGATCTTGCCCTAGATATACAATATTGATGTATGTTACCTGATAACACACAGTATCAGAGAGGACTCCTATGCTGCTGCTAGTAGGAGTGAGTGTATATCTAAATTAATAAAAATGTATATCTGCACAAGCAATATTTTACTCTAAATCATTGACTGGTGGGGTACAGGTTCTTGGCTATTGGCTAGATATGAACAAATGCTGAAACTTCAAAATCAAAACTCAGCTGAAACTACCAAGTTTATCATGCTTCTAATACAAGTGACTAAACTTCACTTTAAGTTAGGCTTCGGTTTGCAAACCGTAGTGAAACTTCCATCTTTGCTGAATTTTGAGTTGTAGCAAAACCCAAACTACAATTTTCTTTCTGTTCTGGTTCTGTTATGAAGATTTAACACAGTTCTAACAATTACTCCATTTTGATTCAATAAAAGTACAACTGAATTCTCAGAGACTGGTAGATTTTAAGGTCAGTAGGGAACATTGTAATCATCTAGTCTAACCTCCGGCACAATATAAACTAAAGAACCTCACCCAATAATTTCTGTATCAAGCCCATAACTTCAGTTTGAGCAACAGCATATCTTTTAGGAAGACGTGCATCTTGACACAAAGATTTTAAGTAATGGAGAATGGACCACCATGTCCCTAAACACATTCTTCCAATGCTTAATTAATTACCATCACTGTTAAAAATGTGCACTTTATTTCTTGTCTGAACTTGTCTAGCTTCATCTTCCAGCCCCTGGATCTCATTATGCCTTTTTCTACTAGATTAAAGAGCTGCCTACTATTAGAAATCTCTCCCATATGTAGACAATGACCATGTTACCTCTTAGCTGCCTCTTCGATTAAATAAATCATAGAAGGGTAGGACTGGAAGGGATCTCAATAAATGGTCACCTAGTCCAGTTCTCTGCACTCAAGGCAGGACTAAGTAATAACCAGACCAAATGGAGCTTTTTTAGTCCCTCAGGTCTTGAGAAGATGTCTAAATAGAGGACTTCAGTCTCCAGCATGTCAAGTTTCACAAACAAAATCATAAGAATTAAAAAAATTAAACCTCCAGTCCCCTCGAATAAATATTAATTTATGTGCCTGGTAATGTCACTTTTCCTAGAAAAATGTCGTCATAAGAGCAGTTTGGCTCAGACCCAAAGTGCCAGCTGATGATGATCACAACAAACATTACCAGACTAGACTTATCCATCAGACTCAGCTTAACTGTGACAAGAGATGCAATCTCAAATTTAACCAACATAAGGATTATTTTATTTAATCAGCGAAAACTCTTAACATGGCCCCCCAGACAATATGAGAATGCTTCTCAGCCACTCTCTCTCTCTCACTAGCACCAACTCCCTGGTGTCAGTTCGTCATAGTGGAGGTCTGATTTAGGCAAAACACTGATTACTCTTTGCCACTTGGATACCAATTGAGAATTCATTAGGGGGCAAGCAGTTCTCTCTACTCTGCCCTGCTTGAATAAATGAGGAACACTCAGTGCCACCTTCTCTCCTCCAAGAAAGGAAAAACCTAACTTTGCAGAAAAACATATACATAATGAGATGCGATACATAAAACTCTTGC